TGAATGTTAACATCTAACGGGTCATGATAGTCAATAAGGGTTATTTCCGACGAATTAGTCTTATGCATTTTATGATCCGAGTATTTTTCTTTCAAATAGGGGTTAAACCGAACAAAATTTAAATCAAATCAGAATATATCCGAATTTGAATTTGATTTCATATTTGATCGATTCTTATAAAGATTAACATAATTCAAATTAGACTAAATACTCAAATTCAACCAATTATTGCAAATATCCGAGGCTGAAACAGACCTAATTGATTTTTTACCATTACACCCCTTATAAAATAAATAAAAAACCCGTAATATAATTTTATTTTAAATAAATAAATGATAATCAAGCCGTTTTATATGTATACATTAATACTGTAATTAGTTCGGATTTTTGCTTGATCAAAACGAGCCATATTCCAATTCAATTCCATAAATTAAATGGTGTAAACATGTCAAAAAAATTATTCCTAATCTACCTTTTTTTTCTTTGAAATTAATTCTGCTATTATAATCAAAGGTCAATATTAAAGACGAGGGTATTTTGGAAAGGAGTTCTTTACAAATGTGACGTCATCTTCACAATCTTTTCAGCCATGTATCGAGAACATCTTCTCATCAATAAAAATATACAAAGTGTTGGGATGGTGTGAGGACAAAACCCAATGTGTTTGGAAAGTGGAGAAATAAATGAATTTTTTATGGCATAATTATTGCTTTTAAAATAGTGCCCAATAAGCACTCATTAACACTAATAACGTTGAGACAGCTTCTGCCTTCTAGACGAGAGTGTCAACTGACAAACCTTCCTTGCACGCTCTCTCGTCTCTTCATGGACCATGATGAACCAGTTTACTTCACATCGCAAATCCATCTCACACCACTCATCTAGCATCTTGCGTGCAGCAGAAATTTTGCTGACAATAGGTGACGGCGGAATGTTCCTGAACTCTGGTCAGAGGTTCATTTGTAAAGCATACGAGAAAATAAACCCTGTGCGCCTAGCATTGCGCGTGTCATGTCATGTCCACGTGGCAAGCACTATGGGGGGACTGGGGAGTGGGGACATAGCTATCTGAAGGAGATAAAATTTCATCATGACACTTGGGTCCTCGCAACTCTGGCACGTGGCCCCGGGAGGTGCCCCCACTTGATTCTTTCACTACGAGATTCGGGTGATGATGATCATGGTTGATCAACGCACTCTCCTAAATTTGTCTTCTTCTGTTCACTTTTCTTTCTTTCTTTTTTTTTTTTAATTTTAATTAATATTAACTAGGTATGACCCGTACTTAGTACGTGGCTTGGTGGCTATTAAGGTAAACTATTTTCAATTTTCAATTTTCTAAATCATTTATATTAAAATTTTAGATTAGGTTTTTCATTTGATTTTTTGACGAGGCAGTCATTCATTTTGGTTTTTATATTTTTTTGTTTATTGCAATAATATGATTTTATTTGAGTTTCACTATTTATATAATAATTATATCTATATTTGAATTACAAAATTTAGCTAGTGAATGGCTCCATACCAAGTATGGGAAAATTCACTCAAGTTTGATTTCCAACAACTGTATTAATTGTTTAGTCATTTTATTATTATTTTTTTATTGTTTTCATTTATAATCCATTTGTTAACTTTTAATCATTTAAGCTAATTCATTATTTAATAAATTTTTAACAGTTTAAGCACATTTATGAATTTTTAATCTATTTTAGTAATTAATTAATCTTTTGTGTTATTTAATAATATTATTAACTATTTTAGTAACCAATGAAATATTTATTTAAGATTATTCCTTTTGAAATATTGACCTAATTAATTATTTAAAGAATACTATTATTTTTAATAAGTGATTTTTATTATTGTTCTTATTAATAGTGATTATTATTGTAAAGCAAATTGATTTCCAACCGGGTATAATTATTATTTCTTCTATTTGTTAATTATTATTTTGCATTTATGAATAATCATTAATGATTATTATTAATTACTATTTATAAATATTGATTATTAATTAATGTGTAAAAAGAAGTAGTGGGACCCAGGCGGTTCGTGCGAAACTCGACCGAACAACCGGCTAACATTAAAGAACAACTGGCATTCGTCTGTATTAAAAAAATGGCTTGGATTCTACCTTCTTCTCGAGCATGGATTTGCAATAACAGTAAAAAGAGCCGTCGTATTCTATCTTCATATGACTCTTTCGGCCACCGGCAACAACCCATAACTGATCACCGGTGCTCGATGGTCTCATATACATTATAATAGTAGTTGTTGGTCGCCGGTAGTAAAAACAAAAAGATCTAGTTTTGAGGGCCCTATATTCTCAGGTAATGATTTGGGCTAAATTTTAACGGGGCCGACTATTGCTACTTGCCATGCCCATCCTAGCCACCAACAGTCACAGAAATTTCTCGGTTGCAGTTTCGATGCAAGGGGTGATGATGAGATTGTTGGAACAAATTTTTGAAATTCAAATAAATGTTTTGATATATATTTTTTCATGAGATTGAATTCATGAGACAAATATTGAGAAAAAAGAGTTCAATGTGATAAAATACAAAATTGAAACATGTTTGTAAAACTGAGATGAAATGTAAAACTAACCTAAGTGGTTGAAGTTGCAAACATGCAACTGAAAATTGCAATGAAGTGAATATTGTATGAATTTAAAGACCGGAGTAGAATTTAGAGTTTGGAAACTGATAGATTGAATGAGAATGTAGATTTATGGACGTGACTATATATATATATATATTAAGTTTATATTAATAATAAGATTTTGCGGGGCTCACCTTAATTGAATGAATGATGATCACCCATCGCTTTAATCGTACTTGTTTGCTTAGATTAGATAAATTCCCTTTTTTATGAATCTGATGGGTTTGGTCTAATCAAGGTTTTAGTGGTGTTTTACACGCATTGCAAGTTGTAGATATCATCATGGCAGTCAAGAGGCAAATGCAGACAAACTCAGACATTTGCTCATTCAACAATGCACAAACTTTCACACCCTTTTCAGGCCGGATCCCTGGTTAGGTCCCTTAGGTGGCGTTTGGTTTGTCACATAATTAATTTATTATCACTTGGGGTGTACTTTGAAGTCTGATATCTGAAAAGCAAAAAAGTTCTAAAACAAAGTAATTTTAAATTTACGTATTTGACTATTTGTTACGAATCAAACGTCTCTTAGCAAGTTTGGTGATCAAATGAAGGGTCATTGGATTTTTCCCCGAAAATAAGCATCAAAGTTATTGTCAAGAATTCAAAATAAAAATTCTTTGGACTTTTTATATAAACTAAAATAAAATTTTGTACCATGTATAGAGCCGATGTGGACCCTTGGATTGGACATATGGCCAATCCACTGGACCCCCTTTTTGATAGAAGGTCCAAATTGGTTATATGATTCATTCACATGGCAAAATCAGTGGGTTTGTGTAGAGATTAGAGAAGCTCCTTACTTGACCCAATTAAGATTTAGGATTTTTTTTCCCAAGTAATTAAACTAGTAATAGTTGCTCAACTTATAAAAATGTTTTTTTTTTGTCTTGTTAATTATTTAAATTTATTTTCCTTGCAATTCAATTCTCAGCCCAGTTGGGACTTCTTTTGGTAAAAAAAAAAAAAAAAGGTTAGTTGGGTAGTTTGTACCATTCTTTACCTATCTGAGTCAGTAGTCATGGGCCAAACTCAGAAAGCAAATTCAGAGTTGATGCAATCTCATGACTCTGCTTTCTTTAGAAACATTTAAAACCATCCAAAATGAAACTACATAGACAACCAAGTTTTTCCAAACAGAAAGAAAAGGAAATAGAAAACTCCCTATATTCATTATGGTCCTCATGTACAAGCATAGAATATAAACCTTTGCTTAATTTTATGTTTTGGGGTGTGAAAAACAAAAATAAATCAAAAAGTATTTTGAGCATTTGCTAATAATTGCTTTTGAAAACATAGGGTCAAAACACTTTTAATCCCAAAAGCACAGTGCTTGTTGGGCTTTAAAAAACACAAAACATGGAGCTAATCAAATGCATCCTAACCTTACTGAATATATATATTTTTTAATTTTTAATAAAAATGAAAAAAATAGTATTGTGATATTAGCATTTGAGATTTATTGATCTTTTATTTCTTTTAATATGAGATTTATTCGTTTTTCTAATTAAAAATCATGAAAAAGGAAATTGTTGAAGGTGATTTTTCAATCTCTCTCTATTTCTTTTCTTCCTTCCCGTGGCGACTCGCCCCCTCACACAGGCACAGTCACACTCTCTCATTCCTCTAAAGTTTCAAAGTTCAAATTCCCCTCCGAATCTCGATCCACAATTCTAAGGTGGGTTGTAAGATCGGACGGTCACGATCCTTCTACCAACCAATTTAACACTTTTATCCTCTGGTCTATTCTCACCTTTTAGAATGTCTCTTACGGTCTTACCTCATCTCAAATATCACATTCTCTACGGGGAACCCGGAGGGGGTATTAAGATTCTAATCCGGAGGTTCCGATTGAATCATTTCTGTCTACTAACAAGTATCAATGATGATACATACCACTATGTCGTAGTGAGCAAATGGCCCCACAAACCTTGCAATGATAAGCAACAAAAGAAAAACTCAATTGATCTAAGGTCATGATTTCTGGGCCCACGAGCAGGCATTGACCATGACCTGGAAAAACGAGGGTCTACGGAAAAAACCACGGTTGAGTAAAGCACCATAACAAAGAAATATTAACATTGAATTATGATTTATTAATATTAATTACGGTAATAAAGAGTGGTAATTTCGTAATTTTGTGGAAAGGCCAAGTAATTTTGCCACGTGGCAACCGGTTGAGGCTCTTCGATTAATATGATGCGGTTGTCGCGAAAATTAGTATTAAAAGAAGAATTCAACTCGGCGCTTCTCTTGTTATATTATATTTAATAATTATTTATCTAATGAAAAAATAAAAATATATATAAATATTAAAAAGGAAAGAAGAAACTCGTCTTTTGTGTTCCTCTCTGTATTTATATTTGTGACTCCGTCTCCATTGTTGCTCTCTGACCCGAAGAAAATCCTTGATTGTTTACGTTGATGGTTCTGTAAAGTTAGGGCTTTTTGGTTTCTTGTTGTGCGAAGGAACGTCAGAGCTTTAAAGGTACGTTCTTTTGCATTGTTTGATCTCTATTTGCCCTAGAAGCTTATTCAATCCAATTGTAGTTGGTTTGGTTCTTACTCTGTTTTTCGATCTTGATTCGATCGAATTGAGTATAGAAGTCAGGATTCTTGTTATTGTTGTGAATAATTTGGTTGGACTATTCGGTTTTAACCGTCCAATTCATTTCTTTTCTCCAACTGTAATCGGACTGTTCGTTGAGGATGTGAATCGATTGCCCCCTGTTTTAGGGCAGTGTTTGAGCGTAATTTGGATTGAGTTTTGTTTTGTTTCTTTGTGATTTTGAATAAAAGTTTTGGTTTTTCTTTTTATTGTTTACAGGTTATAGGCATTTTCGGTGTTTGATCCTTGACTTTAAGATTCGAGGGGGTGGGATGTATTTGTCATGTGTCGGGTTCGCCTTCGAGGCGAAGGGGGGTAGGTGGTAATTTGAGTGTTTGGGGGAGGGGAGGGGGTGGGCCGTGGAGAACATGACTGATTTTGGGCCGCGGCTACAGAAGCAGGAGAGCAACGATGCTCGTGCCGAGTTCCAGCGGGGATTGGAGGAGTTGATGCGCGGTCATTTGGATGATTGTATGTCATTGGCTTCCTGTAGCTCTACTCGAGATCAGGACGATGACGATGAGGAGGGTGACCAGCTTGTACGCCGGAGGCGACGGTCGGATCTCGAAGGGGATGACTTGGCGGAGTCCTCCGCGGCGCGAAGGCGCCACTCTCGTATATTGAGTAGGTGGGCTGCCAGGCAGGCCCAGGAGATGATTACTACGATTGAGAGGCGGAACCGTGAGTCTGAACTTATGGCCCTCGCGGGTTTGCACACTGTCTCCATGCTTGATTCATCCTTTCTGAGGGAGTCACAGTCTCCATCTTCAAGACGGCAGGGGGCTGTTGAGAGACCTAACACCCAGGCATCCTCTCTCCTGCAAATGTGGCGGGAGCTGGAAGATGAGCACATGCTCAACCGTGCCCGAGAAAGGATGAGGCAACAGAGGAGTGTTAACTCCAATTCCAACCTCTCAAGCACTAACGAGTCTGAAACTCGGGAAAGTGAGCATCGAGGGAGTTCCGAAGATGCAAGTGAGAGTGAGAATGAGTACGGGACTTGGTCCCAAGGTCAAATGGAGTCACAGAATGAACATGGAGACCGCAACAATTCTAGCCGTGAACAATCACCAGACATTGGGGAAGTTGAAAGGGAGAGGGTTAGGCAAATTGTCCGGGGATGGATGGATAGTGGCATGAGTGACCATGCATCCAATGTTTCCCAGAGGAACAACAGTCCTAGGGCGGAATGGCTTGGTGAAACTGAGCGTGAAAGAGTAAGACTTGTGAGAGAGTGGGTCCAGATGACAAGTCAGCAACAGAGAGGTGCTCGTGGCAGCAGAAGGGAAGACCAAACTGCTGGACTTGGTGTGCAGATTGAACAGGTTCGTGATGGCATGGTTGTTGACCATGATGAAGGCCAACCTGAGCACATCCGGCGGGAAAGGCTGAGGTTGCGTGGCAGACAAGCTCTCCTTGATTTGCTGGTGAGGATTGAGAGGGAAAGGCAGGGGGAACTGCAAAACTTGTTAGAGCACAGGGCTGTCTCAGACTTTGCTCATCGCAACCGCATTCAGGTCAGTTGCTTATCAAAGTGTTTATTGCTTTTGTATTTGCTCAAATTTAGTCTTCTTGTCTCAGTCCTGCATTTATTCTTGTCATATGCAATTGTGTAAAGAAAGTATAATACTCTGATTGAGCATTTTGAATTTTCTTATTGGGTTAGGACCTAGCCCAAGTGCTTAGCATGATTCATAATGCCCTTGATATGCTAAAATAGGGCATGGTAAGTCTTTAACTGTCTTCTGATCATTATGTAGAATCTGATTTGAAGCTAAAAAAAAAATCCTTACGGCAAGATAATATTTCTTTTGGGTTTTTATTGGCTATCTTTTGGTATGCATGGAGTTTTACTGTCATTTATAGCAAAGGTAGTATTGCATTAAATGTGCATTTCTGGTACTTTAGAGATATATATGAGAATCCACTCCATGCATATTTAATGTGATATATGAGTCTACTTAAAATTCTGTAAAGAGATCCATGATTTTTTTTTTATCAAAAAAGATCCATGATTATAGGTATAATATCTTTTTATCTTAAAAAAAATTCATAATTAGGTATTTGTTTCTAGAAGTTTGACTTTTATGATGGTGTTGATTCTAGTATATGGGGTAATTCTGTTCTGTCTATGCCATATTGCTACTTGTGAGTTAGATTTCTACATGAAGGCCATCCATGAATGTATGTTTGTTGTTGTGGTGTTAACTGTGTACTGTAGCCTATTATATGCAATCAATTAGGATTATCTCTTTATAAGGAAGATATTTGATTAAGTTTTGATGGCTTGGGGATCTGATGTGGTGTTCTTTTCCAGTCATTACTCAGAGGTCGATTCTTACGAAGTGAAAGATCTAATGAGGATGAGAGACCACCTTCAATGGCGGCAGGTGAATTAGGCCAGTTAAGACAAAGACATACTGTATCTGGTTTAAGGTAAGTATTTTTTTTTATGAAATGCCTGTTAATATTGCTTGATTTTTTTCATATTCTCTCTTTGCCTTCACATGGTTTTTCCTGTAGATTTTAGAATACTGCTGTGTTTCCTTTCTGCTTATCTGCTCAGTACAAAACGCTACTCTATTTTTTCCCATGTTCTCTCTCCCTTGTAACAGCCTGGTCCCACTCTTTGGTTATTTTGAATTATGCATGATATGTTTCCCGTCCTACAGACCTCTGAAATCAGAGATCAATGTAAGCGATGGATAATTTTATCTACATGTTTTTCTTAAGACATTGGATGTTGGATGAGTGTGCTCATAATGGAACCCATTGGATAAGCTGGTTATTGACCACTGAAAGAAGTTGCTGACAAGAACTTCACAAATTCATCTTAAGCTATCTGTGGCATCTATATTTATCTTTTGAAAAACTATATTCTGCTCCATTGACTCCTTTGCCTATGGTTGGTGATGCTGAAAAGGCAATGCAGAAATGTAAGCCTGCATGAATGGTTCTTTATAAATGTGGCAGCTATGGTGTTAGGCCCAAACATAGGCGTCAAAATCCTTATGATTTGCAATACAATCCCAAAAGGTTTCTATTTGAATCTTATGTATGAGTTCTTTTCTACAAAAATTTTACAAATTTTGTTTTAATCCTACAATTTGATTCATGAATCACAATTCATATGATTAATGTGATTTAATCAATTCAATTAGAAATTAGTTGTCTACTTTGTTATTTTATTGTTCCTATTTAGTTTTGTCAAGGATGAAGCAAAAAAGAAAAGTTTTTTCAAGGGAGATTTGTTTTTAAAGTCCTTACTTAAAAAAAGGATTCTAGGTTATTAAGACCTTTTAGAAATGATATTGAGTTTATTTTCCATCATATGTAGGTTAAAGAGCCATTGTATGTGGATGGTTTGACTTTCAAGTCAAACTTGATTATATCATCTTAGGCTTCTAGTGTAGAAGTGGTAAATTCTCTTGTTTTTGTACTGTATATATGTTAGATATGAATTAAAAGTAGGCTAAAATCACACACACGCACATATAAACAAGTTTGTAAAAAAAAATGGGAATACTTTTACAATTTATGATACAACTCACGATTTGATTCAATTTAACCTTTTTATTATTTACAATATGATTAAACTATTCAGAACATCCCAAAAATGTACATGGTTGCTATTTCACTATTCTTTGGTCTTCCAAGTTTCAGATGATAACCCTTTTCTACATAGAAAATAAAGCATTTTCTATCACATTCCTAGAGTAGGATATTTTCCCATCTATTTTCTTTATAAAATTGGAAAATTTTGTACAAGGATATGCCCCTCTTTCAGTGATCTAAAAGGCGTGCCTAGGTGCATAGGCGAGGCGCATTTTAGGGTAGGTGCCTCGTCCAGGTCCTAGGTGCAGCACTTTCAAAAGGCACATGCTTGGTGCGCCTTGCGCCTTGGCCCAGGCGTGCATCTTTTGAAAACCATACACTTTTTTGCTTTTTTTTTGAAACTAGCAGCTGGGCCGGGGGCTCTGCCCCCAGACCCCTGACCCCCGACAACACCCCTTGGGAAGTCCATGTTAGGGTCTTAAATTCTTAAATCTCACACAAAAATAATGATTTTATAATTTTATTTGCCTTTTAAGAAGATATTTTATTAAGATGAACGAATGAACAACATTAGCAAATAGGGGGGGTTCTCGGAGCTTAACATGGACTTGTTTGGCTTGCCTCGAGGGGTGTGGCACAAAAGCGACTTGTAGAATTAGGAATGTAATATGTTTTACATCAAATTAGCTACTTGAAGTAATGCAATTGAAGAAAAAAAGAGATAGTGGGCTTTACATGCTTGACTTGGTGCATGGAGCTTGGAGCCTCGGATCTAGTCCCAACAGCCATTGTAGCTATACATTGGGAACATCTTGCCATGAAAGACAAGGTAGATATTCCCAATACACGGCTGTAATGGCTGTTGGGACCAGATCTGGTTTACTTTCTTTGGCCTCCCATGCTACACAAAATGCAGATCAACCGGTATCAGCAGGCTTTTATGGTTTTGTCATTGATGTGCATAACCTTTTTCTTTCCTTAACAATAGTGATTGCATTGGTTAGATAGTGGAAATAACTGGTTATTTGATTTGGAGATTCGGCTATCATAGCATGTTTTCTCTGCTACATATTTTTATGCTGCAATCTGGTGGCTGCTAGTTTGTTGTAACAGTAATAAATTATAAAGGCTCCTGACGAAATTCTTGTAATGTCCACTCTAGTAAATGAGGAAAGTTTGTAAAGCGTAAGTAGAAAACAATATTATCTTGTCCTTATGCTTCCAGCACAAATTAAGGTGGGTATTCGGGTTGACATCTTGAAGGCCACATTGGATGCTGTCGCTTGTCTTGTGGGTTTTGTGGCAAGAGAGTGATACCATTTGCACTTAAGCCCTGTCCTTCATAAAAATTCTTTTGTCATATCATAATATGGCTTGTCCAGATTAGAGGGCGGTCTCATGTTCCCAACTCATCTACATCATGACAAATTGCAAACTAGAATTGATCACCCCCTCCTCAACCATAAGGCTTAATTTTTGATGGGTGCTCCTTGGGGAATCCAGGCCCTTGTAGAATGGGTGAAGTTTTTAGGGATTTGGCAGGGGAGATTCTTATAGTAGCAGACAAAATATCCTTTTGCCATGTCCAGAATCTGGGTTGTGCAGATTAGAGAGTGGTCTCATGTTGCCAGCTCATCTACGTCATGACAAATTGCAAACTAGAATTGCTTGCCCCCTCCTCAACCATAAGGTTTAACTTTGATGGTTGTTCCCTAGGAAACCCAGGCTTTTCTAGAATAGGTGAAATGTTCAGGGATTCAGCAGGAGAGATTCTTCTAGTCTTCTTGGGCTCCATAGGCTCTGGAGATTTTCTAAGAGCAGAAATCGCAGTCCTATTGCAAGTCTTTAGGTTTCGTTATTATATTATTATAATGGGTTACCAATAGATGAAGATGGAAAGTGGACTTATAGGTGGTTATTAGATGATTGAGGGATGGAAATGAGGGTCCATGGCTTTTTAGAAAGCATGCCAGGGAGGCTAGAGCTCTAGTGTCTAGATTGAAAACTTTGTTGAAAGGGGTATGGATGTCGGTAAACTCTTTATCAGATAGTCTAGCTGGAGGAGTGGGTTGGATGAATTTGTGCTGGGGGTTCATCTATGCATTATGATGCATGTATCACGGTAGACATATATTTGGTCATATATATCTGTATTTTTTTTGTTGTTTTGTTTACCCTTTACTGAAAGGTTCAATATGTAGGTTTCCTTTATTGAAACTGGGGGTTTGTATTTCTTGGCTTTTGTATCAATATATCTCTTTTGATTTGCTCACTGATCAACAAATGACCTAGCTATCAATTATCAGAAATAAAAAAAACCATGCTACCACCCTGTCCCCGACTCACAGTTATACTAAGACAAGGAGACTTGTTTGGAATTATGATAGTGGCCAATGTTCACATAATTGAAATTATATTGGTTGGGCCGTTCTCCTAATTCCTAACCATTGCTAAAAATTACAGTGGTTTAACAATGCTAATATTTCTTCAATATTCTGACCATACAATGTAAAAACTTCAGATAGCTTTTTCTTTGCCTTTCCTATGGTGGTAGGTTGTATTTGAGTATTAAGAGGATTAGATGCCCATGAGTTCTATTTTGCTTGGTTGCAATATTTCTGAAGTGCATAAAGGAATCATTAGACAAGATTTAGGAAATGATATTAGAGGACTTCTATTAGTGAATCTCTACTTGATAGCTTCTTCAAAACTCTTGTTTGGAGTTTAGGGTCTGGTGGTTGGCTAGTTGCCGTTTTTGATCCTGAGAATGCAAACCACTCTAATATTCATCAGGAAAGGACAATAATATCCTTGACCAAATGAGATCAGAGAACATACTAGAAAGGGCCTGAAAACATTTGAATATAGAAAAGTACTTTTGTAATATCTTGACCATAACTCTTGGACGATTTTGATCATATGCTCAATATACATATTATCTCTAGCATTTAGAAGATTATGAGAATGAACTTTAGATGCATAAGTAGATGTATGGAGCTTGTGGTCCATTACTTTTTAAAGATGAAAGGTAGTTAACAGTGAAAATACCAATAAATCTACAAAGTCTTGATTGAACCATTTGGGATCTTTTAGTTCACATAAAAGTATGATAAAACACTTAGATTATGCTTACAGTTATATGATTCTATAGGAAACATGCTAAGAAGATACTACCTTTGGATCATCAAGAAGAATAATCAGTGAAATATTGGTCCAAACAATCTAGAAGAAAAAAGGCATGACAAAAGCACTTGTCCTTTTTATTTTTTGTTATTGGCTTAATTCTTTTCTTTCCTGGTTAATTTATGGCTGGTAACTACTGACACAAAGTGAGCTTCAATATGTGGACTATAAACTTCAAAGCACACAAGGCATCAAGTTTGAGGGGCTTGAGTTGTTTAACCCTCAAAGTCTGTCTCTGTGTCCTAGCTTTTTTTTTTTTAATTTTTTAATTTTTATTTTGGTAAGTGAGAAACAAGCTACCCTTGTCTTGAATTTAGCAACTGGGGAGAGAATTTTGAGATGTGAACATCTAAAGTGATTCTTACACTGAATTCATCTTCAAGTAGTAAGCCAACATGTCTCTCTAAAGATTGATAATCTTTATCAAGAGTTTTCAAGTCTTTTATCATTGTGCATTTTCGGTTGGGTTGTAGATGGTATTGAATTCAAGCATCCAACTATTCAATGATTGTGTTCTATGTCTAGGATTATTGTGTTAGTTTGGACTTTGGACCTTCTCGTCCAATTTCTTGTTCTTTAACATATCCTAGTTTTTTTTTTCAACATTCTTTTTTTTTTTTTTTTTAAATTTCCCAGCTATTTGGACTATGTTTTCTGGATATGGTAATGGATGGACAAGGTGTTGGATTTGGAATTTACACTAGAAATTGAAGTACCTGACACGAAATGGTCTGGGTATCAATATCATAGATTTTGGGCTTAATTAATGTTGTATATTGATGTACTGCTGAACCACATTTGCACGAAATAGCACCTATACTAATTTTTCTTTTTGTTCGCTTTTCATTCACATCTGGATTGGATCTGTAGTTATATTTTTTTTTTGAATGGCCTGTTGATGCTTTTTTATGCTATCAGAGAGGGCTTTCGCTCAACATTAGAAAATATTGTTCGTGGCCAAGTGAACGGCCATTCTGATACCTCGTCTAACAACACCAATGGGCCCAGAAATGAAGTAATTCAGTTAAACACCCTACCCACTGCTGCAAATGAAAACCATGAACAATTGCAATCTAGGGGTCAGGAAAGTGAAGTTCGTCTGTTGCAAGAGCATACAGGTGAATTAGAAAATAACACAACTATTGAAAGCACAGGTTTGCAAGAACCTACTACTCAAGGAGGTGATTGGCAAGAACAAGTTACAGAAGATGGAGGTAGAGAATGGCAACTGCCTAATGAAGCTAATATTAATGAATGGCAAGATGGAAATAGGGAAGAAATAGATGCTAACTGGCAGGAGAATACAACCAGGGATTGGCCCCGGGAAACTTCAGGAAATGAGGGTGGAGAAGATAGTCATCTCCGAGAGGCACATGAAGAGTGGCATGAAGATGGTTCTCAGGAGGCTGTCGAGAATTGGTCTGATGGATCTTCAGATCCTCCAAGAAATCGACGTGCTGTTCCTGTTAGGCGGGTCAGTAGATTCCACCCACCTGATGATGACAATGTGTACAGTATGGAACTGAGGGAACTTCTGAGCAGGTATTGGATCTTATCTTCTGGTTCCAGAGTTTTATAATTATTAGAGCTATTGAGTTTTTATTTATCAATGATTTTGTTGTGCTTACTTGAATTTTGCTCATACTGTAGGAGAAGTGTTTCTAATCTTCTTCGTAGTGGGTTCCGTGAGAGCCTAGATCAATTGATACAGTCATATGTAGAAAGACAAAGCCGTTCTCCTATTGACTGGGATCTGCATAGGACATTGGTCCCACCTACTTCGCCAGAGCAAGATCAGGAGCAGCAAAGAGATGATCAGAATGAGGATTCCCCAGAAACTGTTACCAGACCTCCACTTGTGCTGCCATCTCCACCGGTTCCCCCTCCACAGCCTCTTTGGCAACAGGCTTTGAATCATGCCAACTGGTCTCGGCACGGCATACATCGATCAGAAATTGTGCGCTACTTTTCTTGATTACACTTAACTAGAACCCTTGTAGCATACAAATTCATTTTTTCCTTATCATTTGCATTTTATGTTGAAGTCAGTCATTTTAAAAGGTACATATGCTAATAGACAAAGAGGGGTTATTGCTTGGTGGAATGATAAAATCTCAGGCAGACCTGAACGAGGTTTGAGTTTGAGAGCAGCCACTTATGCACAAAGTTGCCGAGGTTTGGTCCATATCCAATCCACCCCTCCCAAGGTCCCCGATAGCTGGGAAGTTGTGGTCCTTCTTTATGTCAATATAGGCATAGATCACTCATACTTGATAACATGAACTCACCCTTTTGATGCAAAATGGAGGTTGCAAGCCGTATTACAGTTAAAAGTGTTGGGTGATGTTTTGAAAAATGGATTGTTACACCTTCGAACTGTGAAAATGGGGAATTGGGGCAACTTCCTTGGCCAATGGTTGACTGATTTGTGGTTAAACCATGAATCTGAAGCTGGTCAAGTTTTCAAAACATTTGTATTAAGAAGTCATTGTCAGAGTTGGGACTTTTAACCTGTATCCATGCTCTTTAATCAATGGCAACCTCCTGATGGATCATGACCTCAGAATCCACTGATATAGGATTTCTAGTGCTCCTGCTCCCATAAATCCCCCAACTTATGGGTTGGCTCCCCCTTGCACAAAACCTTATCCTTGTAATTTGTCCACAAATAACCATTTATTTGGTTGGTTTTGTTGTTGAAAGTAAATTGTCCCCGATTTTCTATTAGATGACTTTTTCCTTCAACTCCTTTTTCTATTGGCATAAATGGGAGATGAGTTCTCTTGTTGAGCCATAATCAATATATAAAAGACTATGTTCATTGTCATTTCTTAATGTGAACTGAACCTGCTACCTTTCAATTTCTCAAGTTTCTGCTGTTGCCTGTCCAATTTCTGTTTGAATTGATTGTGAATGCTATTTGGAGCAGGAGTGGGAGATCATTAATGATTTGAGGGCTGACATGGCTAGGCTCCAGCAAGGGATGAGCCACATGCAGAGGATGTTGGAGGCCTGCATGGATATGCAACTTGAGTTGCAGCGCTCAGTTAGACAGGAAGTCTCTGCAGCATTGAACCGGTCAACTGGTGGACAAGGTCTGTATACACTTCCAACACAAATGCACAGTTATAATGGTTTGTAAATTTGAATAGTACCAATGGAGGCCTTTAGTATGATTGTTTGCTGAATACTGTCTGATGGTCTGAGTCGTTTATGAGTCATTTACCTTGATTTGATTGACTTCAAATAATTTAATGCTGCAAGTCACCTATATCTCCCAATGCTTCCCTAAAAGTTGACTGGTGAAGTTGCTAATCATCGCAGGTTTAGGTGTGGAGTCATCAGAAGATGGATCGAAATGGGGTCATGTTAGGAAGGGAGCTTGCTGTGTCTGTTGTGATAGTCATATTGATTCTTTATTGTACAGGTAAGTGTACACATTTACTTGCCTTATCTGATATAAACAAAATGCAATATGTAAATATTAATATGCCCATAACCCATCCATACTTGTACCTTGTCATTTGCAGATGTGGGCATATGTGCACTTGTTTGAAATGTGCAAATGAGTTGATTCGAGGTGGAGGGAAATGTCCATTGTGTCGGGCACCAATTGTTGAGGTGGTCCGAGCTTACTCCATACTGTAAAGAAGAGAGAGAGAGAGAGAGAGAGAGAGGGGGGGGGAAGGAATAAAGGATAAAGAGAAGGAATGATAAGTTGTTGGAGTCTTCTTACTGCCTTTTTCCAGGCTCCTTCAGGTTCTTATCTGTAGATTGTTTTGTTCATTCTGCCGCTGCCGTTCTGATTATTTCTGGAACATATGTAAATGAAATATTGGAATGACAAATGGCACCTTCCATTCATCATTCTGGCCTCAATAAAGATGTCGAATGGAATATGAACATCCTCTCTAAACTTGCCTGTGTTACTGGATAAAGCTGAGTTAATGTGTGCACACATGAACGCGGGACACTGCATTACTATTAGCTCTTTATCATCACCAGTGGGATGACGTGCATCATTCTGGCCTCAATAAAGATGTCGAGTGGAATATGAACATCCTCTCTAAACTTGCCTCTGTTACTGGATAAAGCTGAGTTAATGTGTGCACACATGAACGCGGGACACTGCATTACTATTAGCTCTTTATTATCACCAGTGGGATGACGTACATCTTGTCGTATGGTCCAGTGTTTCCATTATATTTTCAGAAGCAGAACTCTGCCAGTTTAGCATACCATCCTTCTATCTTTTCTTTGCTTCACAGCCAGGTACCGGTCCAGTTTTCGGCCTTGCTCCTTATGAAACATTCTTTTTGAAGAAGGTCCAGTGTTTCCAAGCCTGTTTAATTTCTTCAACCCTAATGTGCCCAATTACCCATAACCACCAAGGGGGTGTTCTACAGTATGATTTTTCTTTTTCTTTTTGTTTTCATTTGTTTTTGAATTTGCCATAAAAACAAAAAATGTTCTTGAACTGTATAAGTTGGTTTTGTTTGGAAAAAAACTTTTCATGGTTTTGAAATCATCATATTGATGGGTTTAAAACAAAGATTTTATGGTATAGATATTACAACATTTATAAAACATAATATTCATTAATCAAATGAAAACACATTCTTTATACCAGAGGTTCAAGAAAATGTTTTTGGTTACAGGCTAATAATTTGGAAAACAAAAACATGAATATAACCAAGAACATGTTTTCCTGCATCTGTTTTGAACTCAATTTGAATCATATGAAAACATGTACTCTTTAAACAACAAATTCAGGTAACATGTTTTTGGTTACATGCTAATAGTTTTGAAAACTAAAAACACGCACCTAACCAAGAACATGTTTTCATGTGTTTCTGTTCTAAGAATTAATTTGTTATCAAACTAGCTGGTTTTGATGTCTCTAGAACTTGTAAGAAGAAAAATAATTCACATCGGAGAAACGCCCAATACAGTGGGTTTCTTTGCATCATTGAAGTGGGTTTACATGGGTGAGAAAGACATTGGTAACAAACAGCTGATAACAAAGCTCAATGAGACCCGCTGCTTGCTGGTCTTTTGCAGGTTACATACTCAAGGCCATTCGGCCCTGATTTCCAAAGTCCCGGTATTGTCAGACAGTTCAGTTAATTGCTGGAATAACAATGTTACCCATAATTATTGAGCTTGGATTTTCTTTTCCTTCTGTAATTACATTCAATGATGCCATATCATATGAGCAAATTATCGCAATTGACATTCTATACTTGGTGCTTTGGCCAGTTCCCTTTCCTTTTTACAAGAATCCTCCTCCCTTGGATTTTATTGAATATGAATAAGGACCAAAAAATTAAGAATAATTATCAAAAAAATGAGAATTGGATATAAAAAATTTGATGCTAAAGCAGATGATTCATGTGAACCACCTCTTCCCACTCTTTTGAGCCTTGAGCTTCATGACGAGTTCCTCGCGTTGAGCTTCTACATCGGCGAATTTGAGGCTCATCTGGAAATACCGCTCACGCATTTCTCTCAACTCTGCCTCTAGGGATGATGCCTTGCGTTGGTTTCCTTCTTTTCTTACAACACCTTCACCTTCAGTGGTATTTGGATGATCTACATGGCTGTTTTTCTCTTCAGATAGTAGACTGGAGGACATAATAAAAAGGGAACTTTATCAGCATCAATTTTTAGGAACATCATGGTCGATAAAGTCAGATATATTTGCACATACCTCCTAAGCTGTTCTTTATACATATCATTTGCCTCCAGAGCCTCGGAAAGTTCATTCTCAAGAACCTGGATCCTTGATAGAGGATCAACTTCTATGCCTTTGGGGCTTCTATGGTCATTATGATGAAAGTTATTACCCTGTAAAAAGCCAAAGGGAAGCTAGAATGTCTAAAAATGGCAAAAAATAAAAATATAAAGTTTTTATGGGCAAAAAATTGTTTCCATGACCAGTGCTAGGCCCATTTAGTGAAAGAATTGAAATAGCTTTATTTGGCTCCATCCTGGAAGTACGTACTTCTACATCTTCACGGTGGATATTAAAGCCACCTCATCAACATTCAGAAATTTTCAACAAAACAAAGAGGAGTAGCCTTGTAATGCATTGTTGAAAAGGGGGAGTATGTACGTCCAGGACAGAGCAAAATTTTTTTTCGAATTGAAATGACTGGCAATAGTATATACATAGTGATACTATTAGTTCCAAAGACAAGAGAAAGCGTGCAGGGAGTAATGAAGGAAACAATAACCTCTCCCAGGTATTGGTCAGCAATTAGATTGGGTCGATCTTCTGAAAACTGATCAGCCTTCTTGGATGGCAATTTTTGGTTTTCACCATGTCGATTGATATTTTCCGTCTTTTCCTGCCAAACATCAAGCCTGAAGTTAAACACTTGACTTCTGCTTTTCATTTGGCTAAATTGTCAACTAACAACAAGATTGAAGAATAGTGGGGGAGTTACCTCTGGGTTCAGTTCTTCATGAATTGTGAAAACATTGGTATTGGATTCAGAATATTCAGACAAATCTTTATTGCTGGACTCACTTTGTAATTGTTTTTCTTCTCTTTTCTGTTTAAGTTCCTCTTCAAGAACTTGAACCCTCTTGAGGTACTCATCTTTCTCCTCCACCAGGTGTTGTATCTTCCTCTGAAATTGAGAACTGGTTCTCTTAATTCGGCTAAGCTCATTTTTCAGCTCAGCATCCTGAGCACATAATGCTTCTATTGCAGTTAGATCACCCTTCAGCCTCAGAACCTTTTCTTCTAGGGCAACTTTGCTATGTCTACAATCCTCTAATTCAGAAACAGCCTCCTGCATGCTAGAAACTTTCTCAATCAATGAGACCCTTTCTGCTTTCAATTCTTCAAAGTCTCCGGACAGTAGCTGCAATGAAGACTCCAGTTTTTCCTTCTCAAACTTGGTTTCATTGAGTGAGTTCTTAAGAGACAAAACTTCGTCCTGAAGTTGTGATATTTTCTGCAACTGAGTTTTCAAGCTGGCAATTTCTTCCAATAGTTGTTGCCTTTCATACTCACACGATGTAAGTTTTCGTTCAAGACCATTGGAAGTACTTCTAAATTTCTCTTCACTAGATTTTACATCCTCTAACAATCTCATTAGTTTCCCATGGTCAGAAATTAGCAGTTCATGGCTTTGCCTGGACACAGTAAGTTCATCGACCAAGGCTTGAATCTTTGCAGCATTTTCTACTCGGAGAGTAGCTAGTTCATTCTCAGATGACTCAACTTTAGCTTGGACCTCTTGAAGAGAATCTTCCAGTTTTGCTTTATCAGCACGTAAACATGGTACTTCAAGTATTGCATCTGAGGCTAATCTTTCTCTTTCATCATGAGTTGCTGATATCTGATCAATGAGGTGAGCTACCTCTCTTTGGAGCTTCTCAACTTCGGCAGTTTTGTCCAAGTACTTCTGATTTATTAAGTTCATCTCCAGAACAAGTTTCTCTTTGTGCTCCTTGTTTTCATGGAGTAGAGCATCCAGTTCTGAACTCAGGAGTTTCTCTTTCAAGGTAGTATCTTCATATACTAAGGAAAGTTTTCTCTCTAAAAGTTCAACTTTGCTGGAGCAATCAGAGAATTTTATTCTTGATTCCAACAGTCGGGACTCCAAGTGCATGCAGCGCTCATGCAACTCTAGCTTTTGATTCCTCAATTCTCCATTCAGCTTCTGAAGAGAGCTGCATTCTTCAATGAGACTTTCAGCTGTAATTTGCAATTTTGGATTGGCTCTCTTCAGATATTCACATTCTTCTTGAGATTCTGACCATCGCTTTTGCATGTCCTGTAATTTTTGTTTGAAATCTACTTTTTGAGCCTCTATTTCAGTTACCAACCTTCCAATCTCATCTTGGAGATTACTGGCAAGAGATTTTGAATTGTCTAGTTCCAAGCGACTGGACTCCTTTTCATCTGTCAAATATCTTAACTGAGCTTCAAATGCAGATACGCGTTCTGATAACTTTATGTTCTCTTCTTCTAGATCACACAAATGAACTTCCAATTCATGCTTTTCACTTTCTAGATCTGAGCATTTCCTTTGAAGAGTCTTATTTGCAGAAGCATAGGAAGCCACGCTGTTGCTAAGAACCATCAAATCATGTCGTACATCATCCAAACATTTTGATGCAATACTCTTTTCCCTGAGTACAATTTCCATATTCTCCTCCAAATGGTTTTTTTCCTTTTGAAGAGTAGAAACCTGAGACTCTATCTTTCTATGAGATAGCCTAAGATCATCAACCTCTTCTATCTTTAGAGACAAGCTAGCTGCAAGCTCCTCTACCTCAGATTGCCTTGCCACCAGTTCCTTTCTCAAATCAGCAACTCCATCCTCCAGTTTCATTTCCAAACTCTCACATTCTTCAATTGAAAGACGAGCATTCTCATTCAAACTGCATTGGTCAAACTTCTTTTGTGCTTCAGAATCATCTACATCCCTCTCCTTGATATCTACCTTATTTTGAAGTGCATCTTCACACTTAATCTTTGCTTCCAATAATTTATTCAGCAAAATAAAATTGCTTAAGATAGCCTCAGCTTGTTCTTTGAGACAAATTGTATCTGTACTGCTCAATATTGCTAAACTATCAAGATCATCTTCACAGTTAGTATTTTCATGAGAACAAACACTACAACATGACTTCCTTGCATGAGCTAATGCCAACCGAAGTTGATTATCTAATTCAGTGAATATCCTTGAGATTTCTATGGGAAAGTTTGGGTCAGAATTTTCAGATCTTACACAAGAAACAAAGAGTTGGTCCTCTTTGTCAGTTTTTCTTTCTTGATACCCCTTCAACTGTCGTTGCAATGCAGTAATTTCTAATTCTCGTTCTTGCATTTCAGCCTGTCTTTTGTGAAGTTGGGAATCAAGATTACAGGCTTTATCCTTAGAGAGTTGCAGCTGAAACTCCAGTTCAGTACATTTTTCCTGAAGATCTATCAATTGACCTTGTAAGTGGCTGGTGGCAACTCCTTCACTAAACATCTCTTTTCTATTCAGTTCATCTTCCAGCTGGAGTATTTGGGATCCAGGGTTGCTGACTTTAGGCTCAGAAGTACTGGTAAAAACATCAACCTCATTAAAAGAAGCTCCTGATTGGAGATCCTTTTTTGATTTCTCAAGCTTAAGTATAAGCTCAAGGTTTTCATCTGTGAGCTCATTGCAATCTCTCTCTAGCTCCTGGACTTTTGCTTTTAATGCTTGGATTTCCTTGGTAAGATCAGGATCACCTCCACCATCCAACCTTATGTCCTCAGAACTAGGACTACCAGATAACTTTGCTTCTAAGTTAATTATATATTCTTCTTTCATGGATAGCTTATGTCTCCATTCAGCCTCAACATCCAATACGGTTTGGTTCCTCGGGCTCCGCTCAACCTCAATCATCTGGTTTTTTTCTTCCAGGGCTTTCTCTAGCATCTGTACAGTAGTTTGCAAACTCTTTTGGGATTCCTGCAGCTCCATCAGCTGGGACACCAAATTAGATGTGTCATCAACCGCTCCATCCAAATTAGATGAGGCCTTTCTTGTCTTCTCAAGTGAAGATCCCTTTGTTAAATTTAATTCCCCACTATCATCATTTCTACAGTTACAACTTTGAAGTGCTGAAAGATTATCTATTTCCAACCTCTGCTTCTCTATGGTCTCTTCTAATTCCTGAAGAATAGAAACAAGCTCAATGTTTGATTCTTGAGTTTTTTGCATCTGCAGAGTCAAATTTGCATTGGATTCCTGCTGAAATTTTATCTCATCCTCTAATTCCTTCTGAATATGGGTTATACCTTCTGCCTGAAAACTTGAACTTTCTGTTGCTGTTTTTTTCTCTGTTGATTCCTCCAATAGTGTTTTCAGTTGTTCAATTTCCTGTTTCAACCCATCACGCTCACTGTATGCTCCTGAAAGCTCCATATTAAGATCAGCTTGCCGCTGGGACTGGTCAGAACATTCCTTCTTCACTATTTCCAGATCAAACATTAACTTCCGGGCATTTCTTTCCCACATCCTAGCTTCTGCTCGGAGCTCCTCAATTGTTTCTTCTGCAACATCAAGCAATTCTTTAGAAGAACCAACATTCTTCATGGATGACATGGCAGTCACTGGATGCTGATTCTGGTGATGGTTGCTTGAACCTGAGGCCCTTGAATTAAACGATGAATGATTGGATCGAGACAGATCACCAGAAGGATAAGTTCCATATGGAATACTATTTGGGGAGCCAGTTGAATCTTGCCTTCCAATCAGATTATATACACCATCATTTAAATTGTTCCCAGGGGAGAAGCTTACCCTGTCTATGGAACCATCAGCTGAGTCAGAGCTATGGCGTGACTCTGATGCTGAAAAACTTGGGTCCTGCAGTGCAGTGGAAAAGAATTTTTTTTAGAAAAACAGGGAGAAAGTGGAGGCCAAGTGTTCATAGCTTCCTGGAAAGGAAAGCCAAATCAGTATTAGAAAAACAAACAAACAAAAAAAGGGAAAATGAAATCAGATAAATTAATTTGTCAACATAGAAAAATTTCTTGGACATTAGACTCTTTATCAGCCTCATTAAAATTGTAAGGAAAGTCACAAAGGAGATAAAGCAACCATCGAGGGCCTGTTCAAATTACTTCTGAAATATATTACCTCAGCTGCAAACTAGCAAGGGTCAGATCAGGTCCAGATCGTGGTAGACCCAGTCCTGATCTAATAAGGAAATAGGCATACCAGGTTCAGATCCAGATCATATAGCCTATAGGATATGCAACAGCACCAGATCATATAGCCTATACGACCTGCAAGTAACCGCACCAGAACCAACCCTATTGTTTGTCAGGCTTATTGGTTCTGACCAATAAGAACTATATCTAACATGGCCAAATTGGAATATTATTTTAATAATTAAACCATTGGTTCACTTTATAGTTAGACTTACAAAACTGGTAGTTTAATAACAAACCTGCTAAATGATAAGTTTAGACATATTATTTTAATGATAAACCTGTAAGAGGAAGTGAAAAATCTAAAAACTAGGGGGTTACTTTGTCATACACGATGAAGGTGCAATTTGAAGACCATGGCCCCTTTGTTTTGAGGGTATGCAGACTTTTCTGGAAGCAGTCAAAGAATGGGGATCCATATTCAATATTTAGGAGTTGGGTTGCCACATGATGTAAAACAAGCTGTGGCTGTTGAAATAATAGGTAAAGAATTGAAAGTGGAATGTTTTCTCCAAGTGGAAAGAAGAAACATATGATGCTTGCAATACTAACTGATATTGATTGGAAAGAGAGTGAGGTAGTCTTTCAGATGAAGAAAAGAATACTAGGTTCATGGTCAAACGTAACACTTTCCTACAAAGAAGAGATAAAGTTGACTTGAAACAGGACGCTAGAGTATTGTGGATAAAATCAGGGGCTAACACCATCGGTTTCTTTTTTTTTTGACCTGCTGTATAGCTAACAAAAGAAACAGGAAGAAGACAATCAAAAGAATGCTGGTGGATGGGAAAATAGAAGAGGATGAATACAAGGAAGCATTGAATTAATTGAATTCTTATCATGCTAAACCATATTTCTTTTTGGTAAATATTAGGAAACATTGAAAAATCCTTTCAGAGAGGAAGAAGTGTGGAGGATAATAAAAGAGATGGAGGGTGAATGGTTTTACAATGTCTTTCTTCAAAAGGTGCTGGGAAGTAGTGAAGGAAGACATCATGAGAATGCTAACAGACCTTCACTCAAATTCAGGTTTTGAAAGAAACCTAAATGCAACATTTATAGCACTTATCCTGAAGACTGGATGGGCAATGGAGTTGAAAGGTTTCAACAATAACTCTATTGGAGAGAATGCACAAAATAATCATTAAGATCTTGGCCCCAAGGATACAGGTTTGCTTGCATTCATTTTACAAACTCCAGGCACATTTCCCTAAGGAGGCAAGTTTTCCATGAAATGAGCTACAGACTGTTGACTTAGACGTGGTGCACCAAGGGTAGTATGCAAAGTTGACATAGAAAAGGCAAATGATGATTATGCATGCTGAAGCTTTCTGGACCATATTTTGGGGAAGGACATTAGGTGTGTTCAAAGAGATAATGGAGGAAATCTCTTACTAAGCCACTCGAGGCCAATTGGTTTTGAGAACTCATTAGAGGTGTAATTGTTAACTAATCTAGGGTTAAAAACTTAATTGCATGGTAGGGTCTGTTGACAGCACCGTGCAAACAAGATTTAGCTCTATTGTAGTGGAACATTATCCCATTCTATACAGCATCATTGACAACAAAAGTTCTCTTGTGGTTGAGTCATATGAGATAATTGACAACAGGCCTGTCTTGATCACTAGGTCACAGGATTGGGATTTTTTTTGGTGAATTCACTTAATTATTGCAGAGATTTCAGAGATACTCCTCCATTACCAGGCATACAGGACTCCAAAATAAGGAGATAGGATAAATTTGATGCGCTTACAGTGCACTCTTTATTTAAGTAGCTGATGGCAAACACAAAAATGTTCCAACACAAGATCTAGTATTCACTGGTCACCTCTAATATGCACTGCAGTCTCAGGAAAGTTCCTTATAAGAGAAACTCTAAAGAAGAGGTATGGGAATTCCATCAGCTAGCTGTTTATTCTGTCATCAAGAATTGGAGACAGCAGACCATCCTTCCCTACATCATTTGTTCAGTAAAAGTCTGTGGGAAGCTCAAAAGACCAAAAAATGGTCTTTTCCCGTTTAGTATTGCATAGATGAGCACATGGAAAGACTGAAAAATCTGAAAATCAGGAAGCTTCAAATGAAGCCTTTGGTCTTTCCACGCTGAAAATAGCCTTCCCAGACGTTTTTAACAGCCCAGTAGACCACAATGTGAACCAAACAATCTTGGTCTTTAAAGACAAGACCCAAAAGTTCAGTGCGTCTTCTTGTCTACTGGGCTGTTGAAAATCTACCTAGAAAGACTTGGCAAACAGCCCTGTAGTTTTTTGTTCCACCAAATATTACATTAGATGATCACCAGCTTGGTAATATGCATACAAAATTGATCTTCCTAAGAGGACTGGGCAAGGTTAAGGTGATCTGCCTGCAAAGTTGCAAGAGATTTGCAGAAAGATACATGCTTTGCAACAGACACTCAGAGATTCATATATTAAATACTTTAGCTCCTAATATGGCTCCTTTTAAGCAGCAAGAAATGAGTATTCAATGCTTAAGAAACAAAGCAAAAGAGATGGTTGAGGTAAAAAGGTAACCACACCCTACTCCCAAGATCTCCTTGATGAGATGTGTTTCCCAAATGGTTACTAGAAGTAGATCCAACACTTGTAGTGAAGATGATGTCAGACCCATCTGACCTACTATCCATATCATTATAGTCTGTATTGAGATCTTCCGGCTGGGGATTTGTTTCTTTCCATTGTTCAGCCCTGAAATATAGTTATCCACAAAAATGAAAAGGCAAAGTATTAAAATGGAGTCAGAGAATTCATAGGTATTGTAAGTGCCAGCTTGGTAAGTATGGTAATTGCAGTATAAAGCTAAAAGCAAAAACCTGTCTCTTCTTGGTGCAAGGCACTGGATTTTGACCTGCAAATTTTACAGAAATGGAAAAAAAAAATCCATGTTAGTGATGGATTAACAGCAAAATGCATGTTCAAGACAAAAGGACAACAAAAAAAGATGATCATAAAGTCAGCATGCATTGCAAAAAATGGAGGACGAGATAATTGATCTTCCATACATTTCATGATTTCACACCATGGTTACCATTCTTGGTATTAACAGTTCAACCATGTCTTTTAGTATGAGTTTGACAAGACTAACAAAAGCTCAATTGACAAAAAAGAAAAAGAAAAAATCATGGGGGTGGTCCTAGGCTTAAGTTTCAATCTTCTAAACATTTATTATTTTTAATAAAAATGGAATTACTTTTTATAGAAACTTTTAGACTTACTATTTAAAGCAGTTCTGGAATTACTATTTGTAATAAAATTGTGAGCTCCTACTTTATTTTCATTAAATTGGTTTTATTAGGATTTTCTAAGTCCTATTTGAATGTCCTAAGGGTTACTTGCAGGCATGGTTCAAAGTATCAACACATATTTTATCATATTGCATGACATGTATCAGTTTTCGAGGTTACCAATATATTAAATATTGAGAGTAAGGGCCATTTGATGTCCTTAAACACTAATACCTATCCTATTAGAATTTGTGAATTATCAAAGTGACGAAATAAAGGATATAAGAAATAGTGACTTATTGACACACTTGATACTTGAAAATTGAGTATCGAGCATGTCAATACTTAAACATGTTTATGGGTTTGCTTTAGTTTTGAAGCATTTTGCAAGTAATTATAGGTTAGTATTTTGGTCTAAATTGGAGTCTGTAAAGGGAGATTCAGCTCCTTATGTTTAGTCTACAAATGGGCAGTTTTAATTGGAATTTTAGAGTTGGATTAATAGAATTAGAGTTCATTTTGAAGTTACTTGTGAGTACCAGTTTGATCCTCTTTCTTTCTCTCTCTCTCTCTTTTTCTTCTGATGTTGCAATTTTTCTTCTCTATTCATATCTGAATATCTTCCTCTGATAATTCAGATCATTAATTCCTTCTTTACCAACCATGTTGACCTTCAATAAGACTTTTCTCCATTTAATCATTCATCATTCTCACCGGAGAGGGGGGGGGGGAGACATGCATATATGGGTGCTCAATAAAATAAATTTTAATCAAACAATATTTATTTTAACATGTTTATCCATACCATGCTTTATTGATGATTAAACCATGTTTCCTTTAAAATACTTAAAGCTTGTCAAATTTTGGTTCTCTATAGATTCAGTCCTGTTTGTGGTAGGAACCTGCCTACTACAGGTGTCCCTTCGAGGGAGACACAACCTCCTGAAGATTTTAAGAGAAGAAGAGAGATTTTGAAGGAAATATGATATGCATTAATCCTTAGGCTAGGCCCTTTTTATAGATGGACCCGAAACGAAAAGAAACAAGGTAAAAGCATAAAAGCAAAAAGCAAATCTCCCTAATCATTTGACTGTTACAAGGACCTGACTGAGGTCCTCCTGCCGAGGTCCCACCGACTTGACTAAGGTCCAAGTAGCAACCTGCATGACGTGGTGGTCAACTTGCCTACCCTACACCTCCGTTGACTTGATAGAGACCCAGTTGGCGACCTGACAGAGACCCAGCTGGCAACCTACCTCTATCGACCTGACAAAGACCCATCTAGCGACCTACCTCCACCGATCTGACAGAGACCTAACTAGCGATCTATCTCCGTCGACCTAATAGAGACCCAGCTGGTGACCTACCTACATTGACGACCGAACTAGGGACCTCGGCATTAGGGGTGACCTCCCCTGAGACCCTGCTAACCTGATTGGGACCCAGTTGGCGACCTGCTTGACGTGGTGACTAGTTACTTCGAAGTGAAACTGCTATGTAGGAGAGAAGTAGAAAGGAAGAAAGAAGAGAGAGAGAGAGAAGAAGAGAGAAGAAAGATTTGAGAGCAAAAAGGTTGCTGGCGGAGCTAGCTTTTTAGTATATATACTAGGGCGACAACAACTAAAAAATAAAAGAGGAGAATTACAATAGTACTCTACGGTACTACACTTAGAGAAATAACAACTTTTAATACTCCCCCTCAAGTTGGGACATAGATGTCAATCATGCCCAACTTGTCACATAAATCATGACTCTGTGAGTGGTGTAGCCCGTTTGTAAAGATGTTTGCAAGTTGATCTTCAGAGCTAACATAAGGAGTACACATTTCCCCTGTAACGACCTTTTCTCTAATTAAGTGTTTGTCGACTTCGATGTGTTTAGTTCTATCATGTAGCACTAGATTAGCAGCAATGTTTATGGTTGCTTTGTTATCACATAATAGGGTCATAGGTCTGTCTACTAAAAAACCCAACTCACTCAACGAATTTTTTAGCCACATAATTTCAGCCACTCCATGAGCCATTTCCCAATATTCAGCTTCAGCACTAGATCTAGCTACCACATTTTGCTTTTCGCTTCTCCAGGTAACTAAATTTCCTCCTATAAAGGTACAGTAGCCACTAGTTGACTTTTTGTCACTCAGGGATCCTACCCAATCTGCATCAGTGTACACTTCAACTTTCAAATGCCCGTGCTTTTGAAACAACAAGTCTATACCTGGGAACTTCTTAAGATATCTGAGAACTCTTTTTGCTGCTTCAAGATGAGTGGTCTTAGGAGCATGCATGAACTGGCTAAGAACACCCATTGCATAACCAATGTTGGGATGAGTTACAGAAAGATATAACAATCTTCCTATAAGTCTCTGAAACTGTTTCACATCCTTGATAGGTTCACCTTGGCAGTCACCTAATTTGTGGTTAGGATCAATAGGGGAATCAACTGGCTTCACTCCCAATTTTCTTGTATCCCGGAGTAGATCTAGGACATACTTTCTTTGGAAATGAAGATACCCTTTTGTGAGCGGGCCACTTCAATTCCAAGGAAGTACCTTAGAGGACCTAGATTCTTTACTTCAAACTGGGTAGCAAGAAAAATTTTCAACTTTTGAATTTCATCCTTCCACTTGCCAGTGATAATTATATCATCAACATATACCATCAGTGCTGCAATTTTTCCTTCCCCTCTTTTCACAAACAATGTGTGATCAGATTGACACTGCTTGTATCCTTTCTGCTGAACCACTACATGGAACCTGCTGAACCAGGCTCTCGGTGATTGTTTCAGCCCATATAATGATTTCTTAACCTGCACACTTTTTGTTCATTACCTTGAGCCCGAAAACCAGGGGTTGTACCATGTATACTTCCTTTTCAAGGTCACCATTCAGGAAGGCATTCTTGATGTCGAGCTGATGCAGATCCCAGTCAAGATTAGCAGCAAGGGAGAAAATGACTCTAATGGAGTTCATCTTGGCAACGGGTGCAAAAGTTTCTGCATAATCAACTCCATACACTTGTGTAAACCCCTTTGCCACTAAACGAGCTTTATACTTCTCCATCGTGCTATCAACCCTATGTTTAACTATGAAAACCCATTTACATCCAATTGAATCATTTCCCTTATGAAGATCTACTAGTTCCCATGTACTATTTTTATGTAGAGCATTAATTTCTTCCTTCATAGCATCTGTCCATTCAGGTACCAAAAGAGCTTCTTCCACATTCTTAGGGATAGGAACATTGTCAATTGAAGTGAGAAAGGCCCGAAAAGAGGGTGAAATGTTTTCATAGGGTGTTTAGTGGTGCAAGATCTAACACCTTTCCGACGAAAAATAAGAAGGTCAAGGTCATTAGCAACAGAAGTATCAATAGCAATAGGGTTAAGAATCGATAGGAACCAAGATACCTGAATGGGTATGACCCGCCCCTGGAGAGTTTGATGGCATTGGTGGTACAACTTCTAGGTTCTCCACAATTCTTGAACATGGTTGGCCTTTGTGACGACAAAAGAAGACACAAAAGGGAGGAGTATCAAGAAGAGGAGGGAGCTGAACCAGCTTCTCCTCATTCCTACACTCCCCCTGAGGAGAAACAGGGAAAAAAAAGTTCACTCTCAAAGAAAGAGACATCCATGGAAAATTAAAACTTCCGAGAAACAGGATCAAAGCAATGGTATCCCTTCTGAGTGAAAGAATACTCCAAGAAGATGTAAGGAATAGCACAGGGGTCTAATTTTCCACGAGTGGGTGACAAATTTTGAACAAAACAACGACAACCAAACACACAAGGAGGAATAAAAAGAAGACGAGCCTTAGGAAAAAGAAGCTGATGTGGGGCTTTGCACTATAACCAATGAGAGGGCATATGGTTGATGAGATAGGTAGCACAAAGGATAGCCTCAAGTCGAAAATGTTTCGGAACATTCATATTGATTAGTAAACCCCAGGCCACTTCAAGAAGGTGTCAGTTCTTTCTTTTAGCAACACCATTTTGTTGTGGTGTTCGGGCACAAGAGCTACGGTGAAGTGAACCACCTACGAAAATATTCTTTGGCATTATCTAATTGAAAGATTTGGATTTCAGTTTGAAATTGGGTGAAGATCATTTGGTACTTCATCCCTGGTTCACATGGGATATACCCATGTATATCTGGAATAATTATCGATAATGGTAAAATACTTGTAGCCACTCTCAGATGGTAAAATAACAAGGCCCCAAACATCAGAATGAACAATGTGGAAAGGAAATTCAGATTTATTATTCTTTGAAGAAAAATGAGTTCTATACTGCTTACTCAATTGACAAGAAAATTCTGAAACTGACATTGGCTTAAACAACTTTGGAAACACCACTTTTAAAGACTCAAAAGATAAATGACAAAGACAACAATAGATCTGACTCTTAGGCTTTGTGACTTGAAGACCAGCCTTATTCTCCAGCATGTAAAGCCCATCCACCATACATCCTCTACCAATCGTCTTCCCTAAGGCCAGATCTTGAATCACACAGTAAGAAGGTGTAAAGAACACTGATGTAGACCCCACTGTGTGATCCCCACAGTGTTCGTATGGTAGCAATATTTCTGTTAGATATGACAGTGTTAGTTGGTAGTTATTTCATCT